GGTTGAGACATGCCTGCCCGGGGCAGGAACAGAGAAACCAGCTGGCTGGGGATTACTCGCATCAGTTTCAGGGGATAAAATGGCCCCATCTGAACAGGGCACCTGGAGGGGTAAGGGGTAAGGCTGTGAGGGTCCAGGAGAGAACAGGGTCCAGATAGGGGAGGGCAGAGCTGGGAGATCCTGAGTGGAGTTCTACCCCGCCCTCACTCTGACTGTTGGCTGTGCTGACCCTCTCTGGGCTCAGTCTTCCCATCTAGGAAATGGGATGTCAGCCTTAAAGGGGGCACACCAGATCCAGATCCTGTCCCAAAGTGGTCTCAGCACCCCCTGAAGTCTCCTCATGGTCAGGCTCCAAGATGAGAGTGAGTTTGAAGGATGAGGCGGCTGAGTGAAAGGGTTTGGATAAGCATTCCTCCTGCAACGAATAGAATGTTGGAGGAAATGCCCTAAATTTCCTCCACCCGCCTCCCCCACCCGCATTCCTTCCTGACCTACCTGATCCAGCTTCAAGTGGCCGGTCCTGGAACCCTGAGCAAGTCTGGATTTTCTGCCCTAGATTCTTTTCTTCCTCTGCTGAGGTGGATCCACCTGCTGACAGGTGCATCCAGAGGTGAGTCAGGGCAGGCCTAGGATAGATGAGAAGCAGCAGGACTAGCCAGATGGGGGAGCAGAGAAAGCAGGAGGAAAGAAGAGGAAACAGAGGTCCAGAGAGGTGCAGTAACTCACTCCAGCCCCAGAGAGAAGTAATTCAACAAGACAGCATGAGTGAAAGGAAATCCTAGCTCAAAGGTTACCTCCTCCTGGAAGCCCTCACATCTCTATTATGGTCTGGTACATTTTTTTTTAATTGACGTATAGTCAGTTTACAATGTGCCAATTTCTGGTGTACAGCATAATGTTTCAGTCATACACACACATACATATATTCCTTTTCATATTCTTTTTCATTATAGGTTACTACAAGATATTGAATATAGTTCCCTGTGCTATACAGAAGAAATTTGTTGTTTATCTATTTTATATATACTAGTTAATATTTGAAAATCTCAAACTCCTTTATCCCTTCCCACCTCCTTTCCCCACCACCTGGTAACCATAAGATTGTTTGCTACATCTGTGAGTTTGTGTCTATGTTGTAGATGAGTTCATTAGTGTCTTCGTTTTTCTTTTCTTTTTTTTAGATTCCACATATAAGTGATATCATATGGTATTTTTCTTTCTCTTTCTGGCTTTCTTCGCTTAGAATGATGATCTCCAGGTCCATCCTTGTTGCTGCAAATGGCATTTTTATTCTTTTTTATGGCTGAGTAGTATTCCATTGTATAAACATAGTGCAGCTTCTTTCTGTCAATGGACATTTACGTTGTTTCCATGGCACAAAAACATATAGATCAATGGAACATTCTTGACTGTTTAACTGATCATCGCCCATCTGCCCTTTAGAGGAGCCTCTTGGCAGCATAGATGACGTCTGCTGTGCTTCCTGGCACATCATGGATATTCATTAACAATTTAGGGAAGAAAGGGACTTTTATTGCTGTGAGCTTCAAAGAAGTGGCCACACAAAACTGTGTTCCTCAGACCAGCCACATGGGCATTAGCAGCAGCACCTAGGAAATGTCGAATCTGGGGCTCTAACCCAGACTCACAAAGGTGATGGCTGCAGGTATTCTGCTCTTGTCCCCAGAAAGAGGAGGACTTAATTTCTCTTCTTAAATCTGGACTGGCCTGGGGTCAGCAAGTGCTGTGCTAGTATGGGCCTTGAAGAGGGCTGGCAGATTAAATTTACATTTGCTTTTGAAACAGATGCCCTCAAAACCCAGTTGCCACACTATAAGGAAGCCCAAGCCTGAAGGAAAAGCCTTATTCCTGTAAATCAACAGCCCCAGCGGATTTCCCAGCCAACAGCTAGAGTCAACTGCCAGCCACAAGAGGGAGCCATCGAGCCGGTCCAGCCCAGTGCTTCCTCCAGGTTACCACAGCTCTGGGTGACCTCATGTGGTACCACAGAACCATCCAGCAGAGCCCAGCTGACATGCAGAATTTTAAGAGAAAATAAAATGATCACTGTTTTAAGCCACTAAGTTTTTGAGGGGGCTGTTCATCACAGAGTAACAGATCATCAGCGCGTGATTACATCTACTGAATCAGAATTTATCTTTTAACCAGATCCCAGGGATTCTAGTGCTTGCTCAAGTTTGAGAGTCACTGCTCAAAGAGACCTGAGTCAGGCTCTGCAGGGTATCTCAGGAAGCCTTACCCTGTCTGTCCTTCAGTTTGTTTGTTTGTTTGTTTGTTTTTGTCAAATGAGGAGAAAAGTCTGTTTTTGCCAGGGCTGTGTGTTTACTGAGCACCCCCTGTGTCCCAGGCACTATTCTAGATGCCAGGAGGCAGCAGGAAGCACAGCAGACGTCATCTGTGCTTTTAAGAGGCTCCTCTAAGGGGCAGATGGACGACGAGCTGATACATGATCAAGAATGAAAGGGGAAAGGGCAGGGAGGGATAAGTTAGGAGTTTGGGATTAATTGATACTCATAACTATATATAAAATAAACAGCAAGGACCTACTGAACAGCACAGGGAACTATATTCAATTTCTTATAATAACATAATGGAAAAGAATCTGAAAAAACATATATGTATGTATATGTATAACTGAATCACTTTGCTGTTCACCTGAAATTAACTATACTTCAATAAAAAAGAAGAATTTTTTTTAAAGAATGAAAGGTGAAAGGGCAAGGTCCAGCTGAGCTCTACCCAGTGATACACTGGGGTGTATCATTGTGGCCATCGTAGTCATTAAGTCTCCCTTCTCCTCCTCCGCCTCCACTTCCACCTCCTCCTCCTCCTCCGCCGCCTCCCTCCATTTATTGTGTGATGATTGTTCACAAAAACTAACCTGACCACCAAGGACCACCCCAAGCTACAGAACGGAGACTTGAAGAAAGGACCCTTGGGAAGTGTAGTGTTATAGAAAGAGACCACTTGTCCCCCTTTCCTCCCCAAGAGGTGGATTAAAGATAGTAGCAAGGAGGGTATGGTATAGCTCAGTGGTAGAGCATGTGCTTAGCATGCATGAAGTCCTTGACTTCAATCCCCAGCACCTCTACTAAAAAAAAAAGATAGCAGCAAAATCCTTGCTACCCCATCCCCTTAAGAGGTTATGATGATTTCGTGTGTGTGTCAACTAGGCTAAGCTGTAGTACCAAGTTATTTACTTAAACACTTACCCAGGTGTTGCTGAGAAGATGTTTCGTAAATAAGAGCTAATATCGGGGGAAGGGCATAGCTCAAGTGGTAGGGTGCATGCTTACCATACAATAGCTCCTGGGTTCAATCCCCAGTACCTCCTCTAAAAATAAATAAATAAACCTAATTACCTCCCCCCACCAAAAAAAGTTGATATCTACACTCAGTCAACTTAAGATAAAAGGGTAAATTACACTCCTTTACTTCAATGTGAATGGGCCTTAAGCAATCCATTGAAAGTCCTCAAGAGCAAAAAACTGAGGTTTCCCAAAAACAAAATTCTGCCCCAAGACTGCAGCCTCAACCCTCGCCTGAGTTTCCAGCCACCCTACAGATTTCAGACTTGACAGGCGCCCTCCACAATTGCATGAGCTAATTCCTTAAAATAACTACCTTTACTATCCATACCTTAAAATAAACATATAAATCTCAAGATATAAATTTGTATCTCAGATTCACATCATACATAAATCTTAAGATAGTAGTAACCTATAGTGAAAAAGAATATGAAACCAAATATATGTGTGTATATGTATGACTGAAACATGATGCTGTACACCAGAAATTGACATATTGTAATTGACTATACTTCAATAAAAAATAAATCTTAATACAAATATATATATATATAGATAGATGAGGGATAGACAGTTTGTCCTGTAGATAGATAGATGAAAATAGATCAATAGATTAGATAGATAGACAGATAGATACTATTCATTGTTTCTCTGGAGAACTCTGACTGATACTACAGAGGTAAAATCTCCTTGAACCTGGGCTGTCCTCAGTGACGCTGGGGACTTGGGAATCTAGGTTACAAGAAGCCTTGCAGCTTCCTCCCAGTCCCTTTGGAATACACTCTCTTAGATCCAACTGCCACGTTAAGAGGAAGCCCAACCGACCCCAATGGAGAGGCCCTATCTTGAGAGGACCCCAGCCAACAGCCGGCACCAAATTGCCCACCACAAGAATGAGCCACTTTGAAAGCAGATCTTCAGCTGGTCCAGCTGGGCCCTACCCAGATTGTAAGTCTGTGAGCAACCTAAATGTTGTCATCTTAAGCTACTACACTTCCTGGATGTCCATTATACAATAAAAGTTAACCAGAACAGATCTATTTCCCATGTTTGGAGTTCTCAAAAAAAAATTAGTTAAATGTGCATAAATGTTTATGTATACAATGAAAAAGCTCATCTATGCAATTTTGTAAAACTAAAAAGAAATCACAGCAAACTGCTGGGCTAGGGGGTGGGGAGCAAGGAGTAGAGTGGAAATTTTTCCCACATAATATTTTGGAGAGAGAGAGAAGAGATTAATGAAGTGCTTACAACAACACTCCCTGGCACACAGTCAGCACCAAGCATGTGTTTGCATTATTTCTCTTATTGTATGACCAGATGAGGACACGAACACCAACCATGAGTTTTGGGTCCCTCTGGTGCACACATCAGGACCTTACTGGTTTACAACCCCCATCCCGTTCAGTCCTTCAGCCCTTAGCAAGGAGAAGTTTCCCGGGAGGTGAGAAAGCACTGGGCTTGGGGTCAGACCTCCCATGGTCAAAACCCACCTTTGCCACTCTCCTGCTGTGTGACCTTGGGCAAGTGACTTGCCCTCTCTGAGCCTCATGTCCTTCTTGGCGAAAAGGGCATAGTAATAGGTCTATGGGAATTAGAGGAGTGTATCCATGTGTGTGTCTTACTTAGTTTGGGTTCCTCAGAAGTAAACTGCAATGCAAAGATTCGAGTGAAAGTCCTTTATTTGGAGGTGACTTTGAGAACAGCATTCAACTGTAAGTTGTTTCTTTGGAAGGTGATTCCAGGAAACACCAGTAGGGTAGGGAGGCAAGGAAGTTCCCACTTTGGGCACCTGGGGCTCAGTCCCTCTGGGAGACAGCAGAGAATATGCACCCACCCGTCCTTAGTCAAGGCTGCATCCAAGAGTGTTATTTCTCCCAAATGTCCTGCCTGGTGCAAACAGAAGGGAGATTTGTACAGCGTCTCCTGTGATGAACACAGCCTGATGTGGACAGTTACAGTCATTCGGTGAGTGAGATTCTCCCGTCCTCTCTTCCCAATACATCTATCCACACTCAGTCACACACACATGAACTCACACTTACAAACACACATGCACACACACAGGTGCAGGCACACACATACAATCACACACAGGCACACTTTGACACTCACATACTTGCATATACTCACACACGTGCTCACCTCAATGCACCCAAGCATACAGTCACACATACACGCGCACACAGTCACACACGACTGCCCGTGCACACAAGCTCACACACGCTGTACTAAGGGAGACCAGATGCCTCAGCCGTCTTCCCAAATTTTCCAGCAGAGGGAGCCTCCGACATACTCAGGAGAGGAAAGAGCCAGCATCAGCGCCAGGCCTGGGTGTGCCTTGAGAGTCACACTTGCAGGTGCAGCGGGGTCCCAGGGGCCTACGAGTCCCATGTCTCCCCTCCTCCCCTCTCTCTTTCATTCACCGTCACGGCTCTTAGCAGAAAGTCAATCTACATTTCAAGTATGAAGATCCTGTGAAATCCACAAGACAAGGGAGAATGGAGGTGCAGAGAGGGGCAGTCATGTGCCGCTAGGAAGAGGCAGAACCGGGGTTTAAACCCGAATGTGTCTCTTCTCAAGTCCAAGTTATTTTTGCTGGTGGATGAAGAGGTTGCACGGGAAAAGCGCGGGGAAAGCGGGGGAGGTTGGTGCAATGTTTAGGGAATGATGTGCACTTGGAGACCCCGAGTCTGGACAGGAGTGTGAAAGAGGCAGCATCAACAAGAGCCATGTGGTTCCTGTAAGGCGCGTGACCTCATGTTTCCCTCTCAGCCTGCGAGTAGCCGGCACAGGCGATTCCGGCCGACGATCCCATCATAGGCCACCTAGGGGCGCCCCAGGATCGGCCGCCCAGCGTGGTTTCATCTCCACTTCCCCCAACCCTACCCCATTCCTGTAGAACCCGCTTCTGCGCAGAGAGGCTAGAGACCCAGACCAGGACTAGAAGCCTGAGTGATGGGGTAGGAAAGGACTCGGGGCCCCTTTTGAGATCCCAAGAATATCGTTGTAGGACCTTGGTTGCGTCATTTCACTGGGGAACTCAATTTCCACCTCCGTTATATGAAATAGTAACAGTACCCATTTCATAAAAATAGTACCTGTGATAATTAAATGAGAATATCTGGGAAGGGCATACAGGAAGCACTCAACCAACTTTAAATCTCATTATGGTTATCTTAACTCTGGAGACTCCCAGGGTTTGGTCCTTTTTACCCCTCCTCCGTATGCTCACAAGTACACACACCACACACACACCGGGGGATCTCACCCAGTCTTTTTAGACAATAGCTAACACTGAGCCTCCCAAATGTACATCACCAGCCCTAAACTGTCTCCCAAATTCAAGACCCATCTATTCAACTGCCAGCTTGACACCTCCAACTCCTCCTGGCCCAAAATGACATGCTGATCTCACCCCGACCCCCCACCCCCAAAAACCCAACTTACTCATTCAGGATTCTGCAACTCAGTTGATGATACTTTTCCATCTTTCCAGGTGCTCAGATTCAAACGTGGGGTCCTCCCCTTCTCCTAATCCCCACATTCCATCTGTCTGCAAACCTGACAGCACTACCTTCATGAAAGAACTATTTCTCATCAGAATCCAATTGCCCCTTTTTACCTCTACAGTGCCCATCTTGGGTCGAGTCACCATCTGGTCTCCCTAGTCCCAGCCTTGCCACAGTCTCTATTCAACAGAGCAACTCAAGACTGTAAGATAAATCTTGTCCTTCCTCTGCAAGAACCCTCCATGGCTCACCATTTGTCACAATAAAAGTCAAAATTCTTTCAGTGGCTTCCGAGGCTGTGTGAATTTACTAATTTATTTGGTTCTTTATCATCTGTCATCTGTTTCCCACTTCTAGCATGTCAATTACGCAAGGACTCAAATACTGCCTGGCTTACAGCAGATGATCAATAAAAATGTGATGAATTAATATTATTATTGTAGTCATGGTCATTGCCCTACCTTCTATATCATCATATCGGGGACTACTCCCCCAGCCAAATACTTGGCAATCACCCTTATCTCCTCCATCCCCTCAGCCCTCACAGCTAGCTAGGCACCCCTCCTGTCCCACCTGGACCTCAGCCTCCCTCTTCCCTGAGTTTCCAGCCTCTAGTACAACATTTCCAAGCCACCTCCCTTTCAGCCCAGATCTAACCATAACCTCCCCAGCCCCTGCTCACACATACACTATGGCTCCCTATTGCCCTCTGCATAAAGCCTGAACTGTGATGTGGCCCTGTCCACCCTTCCTCCATCCTGCCCCTACTCCCGAGATCTAGCCACCCTGGCTCCTTGTGAGTTCCATGAGCACACTGTGCTCACCCTCACCTCAGGACATTTGCAGCTGCTATCCCGCTACCTGGAGTGCTCCCTCTCCCTTGCCACTACTCAACTTCTGCTTCTGCTTCAGCATCAGAGCAGCTTTCCCTGAGCCACCCTCCACCCCCTGTTCTGCTTGCCCAGCACCAAGGCCTCTCTTTTGGAGCACTTGTTACAGATTGCAAATACATTTTCACGTGGAATTAATTGTTCAACGTATGCCCCCGTCCTTCCAAAGACAGGAATTTTCCTGGGGTTGTGTTCCTGGTCCAGTACCAGCAGACACTTAGGATGCAGTAAGCTGATGAAATAAATGAATGCACAAACTGTCCCCAAAAGTCTGTTTATGTCTGAGGACAAATGGCTTCCTAGCCTCCTAGCCCACAGCTTCCCAACTGTCCAGGACCCTTCATTTTCTTGCTGGGAGCTGGGAGTAAGGATCTGGCCTAGCTGAGGATGGATGATGGGGGATGTCTGCATCCCTTGCTTTTATTTTACAAACATCAGGACACTCAGCAAAGGGCCTTTGAGGAAGGGAGGAAGGAAGGGGCTTGAGAGGGAGGGTGTGAGTTTACAAATCAAGAACAGACAGCCTGGGCCCTAGGATGCAGCCTGATTCCTGAGGAGTTCACCCATTTGAGCTGAGGGCCTCGAGAAGGTGATGTTCAGGTTCAAGGCTCTGATCTCGGGCTCCATTTCCCAAGTCCTCAATTTAAAAGCCAGTCGGGATCCGAGGGAGACCGGACTTGTATCCTAGAGGCCTTGGATGTCCAGTCTTAGGTCCTCCGAAGGCTCATTAGGCTAGGCCTGAAGACCTGAATCCGAATGACGTTGGGGGCGGGGCCTGAGCCCGAGGGGCCTGACCAATCCTGATCCCTCAAACAAGAGAGCAGGAACCGGCCCTCAGGGGGCGGGACCTGGACCTCAAGGGGCGGGATCAGACCCTCAGGAGGCGGAGCCTTGCTTTGAGGGGTGTGACCTGCGCCGTCAGTCTGCTTAATGGAGGAGCCTGTTCACCCCAGGAGCGGAGCCCAGACTTCGAGGGGCGTGGTCAATGCCCTCAGGATCTTGAGGGCGGGGCCTGGGCCCTCAGGGGCAGAACCTGAGCCTCTCTGGGCGGGGCTTGGGCCCCCGGGATCCGCGGGGGCGGGCCGGGCCTCACTCAGGCCCGCGGAGGCAGTGGCTCTACCTTGAGCCAGATACCATCCTCCGTGCGCAGAATGAGCTCGGGCTTCCTTCGCACCTTGCGCGTTCGGTCCACGCTCAGGCGGAAACGCAGCAGAGTCAGCGCCACGGCCACGCGCATCTCAGCCATGGCGAAGCTCTGTCCGATGCAGTTCCTGGAGGACGGGGGACAGGGGGCTTAGCCCTAGCCACTGAGTGAGCAGGATCCTTGGGACTGAGTAAATGACCTCCCCCTCTAAGCCTCAACTCTCTCATGTGTAGAAGGGGAACAAAGGCATCACAGAGCCGTCAGGAGTATATGAGACCAGGACTCAGGGCCAAGCATACAGTAGACGCTCTGTACCCATGGATGATATCGCAGAACCTGATTTGAGGGGGCTTCCTGGTGCACTGAGGGCAGGAAAAAGATACTGGGTTGGTGGAAAGGACACCTGAGTGGGACGCAGTTTCTGCTCCTGATAGGCACACTCCTGACCTTCCACTGGCTTCCATGTTCCTCCTAGACTTGGCTTGGAATGGGGGAAACAGAAGTTACCTGGGTCCTGCAGAGAAGGGCATGTAAGCCAGCGGGGAGCGCTGCTCTGTGTTGTCCGGGTCAAAGCGATAGGGGTTGTACACCTAGGCAGGGGCAGCCTGGGGGTGAGCTCAGCCATCCCAGCCTGCCTCCCCCTCCCTCAGCCTCGGGGAACCAGCCCAGAAGGACGGAGAGAGCCTGACTACAATCCAGCCACACCTGTCTCCTTCAGGCATGACAGACTCATTCCCACCACAGGGCCTTTGCATTCGCCGTTTCTCTACCTGGAACACACTTTTCCCTGCTCTTTCACACTTTTGAGTGTGAATATTTTCAGTTTCAGCTCAAACATCTCTTGCTTGGTAATGTCCTTCCTCACAATATGAGCTAAAGTGCTCCCTCCCTCTAGTTTTTATTTCTTTTATGTATTTATCAATACCCAAAATGATTTTTTTTTTTTGCTTCTTTTCTTCCTCCAGACTTCACTGTGAGCTCTGTGAGGGCAAAGAGAGTATCTTCCTCTGTTCTCAGTGCCCAGCTCTGGGTCTGACACACAGCAGATTCTCAATAAAGATTTGTTGATGTAATGAAGTAACAGTAAATGATGGTATAGCTCAGTAGTAGAGCACATGCTTAGCATGCACAAAGTCCTGGGTCCGATCCCCAGCACCTCCATCAAAAATAAGTAAATAAATAAAAACTCAGTTACCTCCCCCCAAAATAAAATAATAAATTAAAAATTAATTTTTAAAATGTTTTAAAAATGAATGAATAAACCTAATTTAATTACCTCCCCCCCCAAAAAAAGTTTTTAAAAATGGGAGAAGGGCCATTTAAGCCCTGCCATCAGCCCTGCCGTCTGGCTCCCTAGGGAGCAGAGGAGGGGAGCCCTTGCTGCCCAAGGACTGCCCTTTCTGAGGAAGGAGAAGCTGAGAGAAGGAAGGGTCGGGGCAGGAGCTCACCTTGGCGTCAGGCCACACTGTAGGGTTATAGTGGGTCCCGTAGACACTGACCAGGCAGATGATTCCTGTGGGGAGGAGTGGGGTCAGTGGAGCTGAGGGAAACCCGGGCCTCCTCTGGAGACCTACCCCTCCGTGGCTCTCCCTTGAGTATGCCATTCCCATGAGCCATCTGCCATCCTTTCCTGCCTTTCCTTCCCTAAAAAGTCCTGTTGCTCCATCCACTTTCTCGACCTCTCCCTAAGAGGTCCCCATCTAGCTGCCATGCTGGCCACACAGTGATCTTCCTCCCTCACATATCTGACATTGCTCCTCCATAGTTCAAATACCTCCCATGGCTCCCTACTGCCCTGAGGATCAAGGTCAAGCACCTTAACCTGGCATTTAAGGCCTTTTAGTCTCTGCACCCTGAGGCTCTCCTCCATAAACATGCTCTCTTTCATTTCTAACCTCCAAGGCTCACCTCTCACGTTCCCTCTTCCAGGCAGTCCTCCCTGTATTACACCCAAGCTCCAAACATCGTTCATTTGGAGCTGCTCCAGCCTCTCTCCCTCCTTTAGCCCACTCCTCACCCCACATGGCTGGGAATGTCTGTGCCCTGCTGTACCTCCCCCAGAGTGGGTGGTACGCAAAGCCTGAGCCTGGGGATGAGGTTTCTCTAGATGTCAGCATCATCCAGGACAGGACCTGGTCTCTAGGGAATATCTGTCAACTAAATGAAACCAGCCCTTCCCTACCTGCACCCTCACAGGGACCACCCTGCCACACCCGCTCCTTCCTTTCCACTTGGATTCACCGATCTCTCAGTACCCCCATGCACACAGCTGGGTCTCCCCCATAACCCCAGAGGCAACAGGCTATAAAGTGCTGGCTCATCTACAAGGACGGTGCACCTGGGGCAGGCATAGGCAGACCCCTGTGGGCAATAGAGCAGTCAGGCAGCAGGGAGCAGACAGTGGGCACCTTTGGGGATGATACGCCCATCTGGGAGCTTGACGTCTTCCGTGCATTGACGAGAGATCATGGTTACGGGTGGGAACTTCCGGAGGCTCTCCTTGATGCACATTGTGGTGAAGGGCAGCTGGGTCAGGTCCTCCCTGGGGAATATGGACCAGTGGGTGACTAGGGGCCAGGCCATGATGCCACCCCCTCCCCCAAATGCACACACATGTGCACACAGGCAATTAGGAGCAACTGCAGGAAACCAGTCTAGGATCTCAGACTTGCCCCAACTTCAGGCATTTCCAGTGGTGCCTGCACACACCTCTAATCCTCAGCGTGTAAAATATCTGACTCCCAACCAATCAGAGCAGCGCTAGCCAGACAGATGCAAGCCTAGCCTTAACCCTTTAACTGATGAATTTTGTGGAGGTCAGGGGGCACCCTGGGAGGTGCTAGGATAGCCAGGGGACCCTGGGGTATCAGTGCTTTACCAGCCTGTATAAATCAATTTCAGCACTTATAGACTCATACATCCTCTCCTTATACTGTTATTTACTTAATTTTTTTCCTTTGGACTTTGGGTCCCAAAATTGGATTGATTATAACTCTCAATTCATTATCTAGATTGTTTTCTTTACATCAGCAGATTCTCTTTCGAAGAAACTTTCTATTCCTACCATAAAGGGCAAATGGCATGCCTGATATAAAGGTAGCCATAAACACAAACACCACTGGGAAACAGAAGAGGGTAATTAAACTCTGGCTAGATACCACCTGCTGCCCAATTCTCAGAATAAGAGTCATCTTCTCCCTTTGTTAAAAAGGCAGGTTAACAAGGATTAGCAAGGTGCTGAAGACATGATGGTGCCAACTGAAAGGGTCACCCTAAAGTCATAATCTGAAAGGTTGACATTGAATCAAAAGGAACTTTCTCACTGTTCAGTGCTATTTCATGCTGTGTTTTCTTTGCCTCACCCAAGATCAGCTCTACACAGCACACATCTGAAGTAAACAGGATTATTATTCTTCCTTTCCCCCAACATTGGAATCACCAAGCCCTTTGCCATGTGAGTCTGCTCTTGAGTGAATGGAGTATATGTCCCACCCCATTCATGTTGGGTTTGGCCATGTGATCTGCTTTAGCTAATGGAATGTTACAAGGCAAGCAGAGATTTTTAATTGTGTGGCTCTTTATGCTTCTGAAATCTGCCTTGAGAAAACATGCCCAGGGTGGCTGCTGGTCCAAAAAGAATGAGGAGACACGTGGTACAGACCTGAACCCAAACCTCAGTTTGAAAGCAACACCACTCAGTGCAGCCCCAGCTGTAACAAGAGTTATGTGCAGACAAGAGCAAGAAATAAATGCTTGCTGCAAACCACTGAGTTTAGGGACTGTTTGTTACACAGCGTTGTTGCAACTGTTGTTGACTAAGACGTTCCTAATGAAGAACTCCTACTTTATGAAGTAGGCATATGCATGAATGTCATCCCCATTTTACAGTTGAAGAAATTGAAATTCAAGAAGCTTAAGTGATTTGTCTGAGGTTAGATAATCAGTAAGTGGTACAGCAGAGAGATTCAAACCCAAAGCTCTAAACTCAGCCTGCCCCCACCATCCCCATGACTCCAGACTGACCACTCCAGCTCCTCTAGCTCTCGATTTTTCATGACTTCCTGGATCTCTTCCCGGCACTTCTCCTGGTACTCCGGATACTTGGCCAAGTTGAAGAACACCCATGAGAGCCCACTGGATGTTGTGTCATGACCTGCAGGCAGATAAGGGGCTTCAGTGGAGGCTGCCTGCAGATAGTGGAGATGCTGTCTTCTGATAATGGAGCCCCTTCTCGCCCATATCCTCACCCTCAAACATGAAGGTGTCAGCTTCAGCTCGGATGTCCTCATCTGACATTTCCTTCCCATCTTCATCCTGGAATGGCAGTAGATTCTGCTCAGCCCACTTTGTCCCACCCTCCAAGTCCTAGGAGTTCTTCCAATGTCAAGCTACCCTCCTCTTTCCCTTAAGCCAAGCTACAGGGGAAAGGATTCCAGGCAGGTGGAGCTGTGCAACTTGTCTAAGAAAGATGGAAAGTGGGAAGGAGAGCCAAAGATGAAAGGAAGAAGGGGTTTCATATTTCTTCAGCAGTTCCTAGCCCAAAGCATCCTGCCAGATGCCTGACAGCAATCTTGTGATCAGATCTTACGATCCTCATGCTGTAAATGAGGAAACTGAGGCTCCAAGGGAAGAGTCAGATGACCAAGGTCAACCATCCATGAGGCGGTAAAGCTAGAAATGGAATTCAGAACTGGCTGAATCCAGAACCCAGATGCTGCTCAGAAATCCCACAGAAGCACCACTAATTGGTGACTGCCTATCTCTGCCAGTGTCACATTTCTTCAAGGTCTTGTATTTCATCTTTGTTAAGTGTTGTGGCCTGAATTGTGCCCCTCCCCACCCCCACCCTAGAATTCATATAGTGAAATCCTAACCCCCCAGCACCTCAGAATGTGACCTTATATGGAGATAAGGCTTTTCCAGAAGTACTTAAATTACAATGAGGTCATTAGAGTGGTCCCTAAGCCAGTATGACTGATGTTCTCCTAAGAAGAGGAAAGGAGGACACAGATGTGCACAGAGGGACGACCATGTGAAGACATAGGGAGAGGAGAGCCAGCTACAAGCCTTGGCAGGTAACCCTTGGCAGGGAAAGGTATAGCTCAGTGGTAGAGCACTTGCTTAGCATTCATGGGGTCCTGGGTCAATCCCCAGTACCTCCATTAAAATAAATAAGTAAATAAGCCTAATTACCTCCCCCGCTAAAGTTTTTTAAAATTGAAGAAAAGAAAAGAAACCAACCCTGCCAACACCTTGATCTCAGAGATCTAACCTCCAGGCTGAGACTGAGAAAATTGACTTCTGTTGTTTTAAACCACCCAGCATGCACATCACTGTGTTAGGGCAATGCTAGCAAATGAATACTGTCTCACGTGTTCTGCATCTGCCTGCATTCTAATCCACGTTAGTTTGGGTGTTTACCATCTTACAGTTGCTGCAACTCATGGACAGGGCTCCACCCTCCAGGATCCAGCCTCACCCTGGCCAGGAGCAGCACATCGATGAAGTCCAAGGTCTTGCCCTGCTTGGCCTTAAGCCAGGCTTCCATGCCCTGTTGGCGGAGCACCCGCCGCCGCTCCTGGATGACCTCCGTGGTGAAGTGGTGCACAGTGTCACAGGCCTGCCGGAAACGTCGCCCGTCCGCTGTGCGGTAGTAGATGAAGTCGAGGTGGTGGTGGAGGCGATACTGGCGCCGGACCACCAGGGCACTTAGCTCAATGATGGCCGAGATGTAATCGCTCATCTTCCTGCCAGGGAGAGGAAGGGCCGTGAGCATAGGCCCGCAACCTAAGACAAGCTTCCTCCCCAGAGAGGCCCGAAATTAACTATTTGGTGAGCTTATTTATTTTTTTAATAGAGGTACTGGAGACTGAACCCAGGACCTTGTGCATGCTAAGCATGCACTCTACCACTGAGCTATACCCTTCCCCCTATATTCTCCTATTTTCTTATATTCTTGATGCTCTGCCATTTGGGGCCTCACTGATGGGAGAGACACCTCCTCTCCCGGGACTAACCATTTCTAAGAGCTAGCAAAGGACTCACCCAGGAGCATGCCTTTCTTTTGCAAACCAACCAATCCAGAGTTCATACTCCATACATTATTGGGCTGAGCCACTATCCCCCTGCCCTAATCACACCAGGGCCAGGACACTTAGGGGAAGCCCTATGCCCCAGCGCCTGTTGAAATTACTCAAACTAGCCAATCCTAAACCTGCATAACATACCTTTGCCATTCCTTCCTGTAGAAGTTCCCCCAAAAAGTTTTTGCCATGCTTTTTCCTGGTGTTTCCCTATGTGGCCCTCCCTGTGTGGTGTGGCATGCCCCCTCATCTTGGGAACTGTAAGTAACAAGCTATCTTTTCAATGGCAACAGTCTCCTAATCTGTTGGCCTCACTATACCAGAATCAAACCAAATTCTGGGTATATTTTAAAACAGGCTGGGGGGTAAGGGGGTACAGCTCAGTGGTAGAGTGCATGCTTAGCATGCACGAGGTCCTGGGTTCAATCCCTAGTACCTCCATTTAAAAAAAAAGGCCCAAAGAAGGATGAGGACTTTCAAGTAAATGTAACATCATAAAATTAAATGGCTACTTAGAATACAAATGTGTGGTTGCCAAGGGGGCGGGGGGTGGGAAGAGATAGACTGGGATTTCAAAATTGTAGAATAGATAAACAAGATTATACTGTATAGCACAGGGAAATATGTACAAGATCCTATGGCAGCTCACAGAGAAAAAAAAATGTGACAATGAATATATATGTGTTCATGTATAATTGAAAAATTGTGCTCTACACTGGAATTTGACACAACATTGTAAAATGATTATAAATCAATAAAAAATGTTTAAAAAAATTAAATGGCTACTATCCACAGAGTGGAAGAAAATATTTAAAAATCATATATCTGATGAGGAGCTTGTATCTAAAATATATAAAGGACACTTAAAGCTCAATAATGAAGAAGACAGACAACCCAATTTTAAAATGTGCAAAGAATATGAAGAGACAAAATTCTCCAAAGAAGACATACAAATGGCCAATATGCACATGAAAAGGAACTTAACAGCATTAGCCATTAGGGAAATGCAAATCAAAACCACCATGAGATACCACTTTATCCCAACTAAGATGGCTATAATCAAAAAGACAGATGATAAAAAGTGTTGATGAGGCTGTGGAGAAATTGGAGCCCTCACGTACTGCTGGTGGGAATGTGAAATGGTGCAACCACTTTCAGGAAATGTCTGGCAGTACCAAAAGAGATTAAATGTAGAATTATCAGATGGCCCAGGAATTTCACAACAGGTATATACCCAAGAGAATTAAAAACACATGTTTATACAAAAACTTGTACATTAATGTTTATAGCAGCACTGCTCATAATAGCCAAAAAGTAGAAACAACCCAAATTTTTATCAGCAGATGACTGGATAAACAAAATGTTGTATTAAGTGGTAAATGGAATTATTATTCAGCAGTTTTGAAAATGAATTATTGATACCTGCTACAACATGAGTGAATCTGAAAACAATATGTTGGTTGAAAAAAAGACACAGAAGTGTATATAATTCCATCTATATGAAATTTCCATAATAGACAAATCTATAGAGACAGAAGGAAGATTAGTCATTGCCTAGACCTAAAGGAGAAGTTGGAAGTGGGGAATGGGCACTAAAATGTACAGGGTTTCCTTGCTGAAAATACTCTAAACTTGGTTATGGTGATGGTTGCATAACACTGTGAATACACTAGAAACCACTGGTTGTCTACTGTAAATGGGTGAATTGTATTCTATGTGGGTTACACCTCAGTAAACTTTTTTTTAAAAAGAAAAAAAATAAATCACAAGAGGCAAGGTTACAAGAGCTGTCCTTAGTCCTGAAGTGCTTGTTGCTTCCATGCACTTATCAGTCTGCCATTTTCTTGTTTATTTATTTGTTCATGGTTTCTGCCTGCCTTCCTACCAAAATGCAAGTTTCAGAAGAGCAAGACCTTGTCTGCTTTGTTGACCACTGAATTCTAGTCTGGGGCTCTGCATAGTACACACTCAATAAACATTTCTTTGACTGATTAATGAATTAATTACCAAGGCCACCTCCACCTTACCCAACTGGAACAATACCCCTACAGGAGTAACAATGTTAGTAGCTTGTTGTTGAGGACCTACTATGTGCTACAAACCTGACAGTTATTTTGTCCCTTATTCCTTATGTCCCCACTTAGACTATAAGCTCCAAGGAACTGGAACTTAGTCTGTTGCCCACCCCTATTGCCTATCCCCAGTAGCTAGCGTAGTGCCAGGCACATAGTAGGTACACAACAAATACTTGATGAGTGAATGAATGAACCAAGACAGTAGTCATTTTACTTATTCATTCAACAAATATTCACTCAGCATCTACTGAGTGTCAGGGCTGTGCTTCATCATTTTACCCTTAAAGCAACTCTCAGAGGGTCAGGAATTGTCATCCTTATTTTATAAGCAAAGAAACTGAGGCTCAGAAAGTGTCGGAGGGTGGAGGACACTTTCTAACGACCACATCCTCTTTGTGGAGGAAATAAGCATTTACCAAGCGCCTACTGTGTGCCATTGACTCACATTATCTCACTTAATTCTCATACAGTGACTGTGGGGACAGAACAAGGATTTCCATCTTGGGGATAAGGAAACAGGCTCAGAGAGGTGATGTCAGTTTTCCAGAACCACACAGCCTGCCAGTGACCGAGCATCAGCAGCCCAAGAGTGCCTGCCACCTAAGAGTTTCCTTTCTCCTCCCTCCCATCACCTCACCCCTCTGAAGCAGCTGGCTCTGTTCCCCGGGGAGGCCACACTCACTCCTGGTAGTCGCTGTTGTAGCTGAAGACACATTTCTGAAGAGTATCTAGGGTCATGAGGCTGATGTGCTCAAACATGTCGAGGGAGACATCCGAGCCCTCCACCAGGCGCCGCCATTTAGCCTGGAAGAGCGAGACACATGGCAAGTGGGCACGGAGACCACAGGCTTTAAGCCAGAATGACGATGACCCAGCCCAAGCCCACTTTATAGATAAAGGAAGTGAGGCTTCCTGACATCACCTGGCTTGCCCATGAGTTGGAGTCTGGACCAGTCTCACTCCCAGGATACCCTCTTCCCAAGAATCCTGGGGACTCACATGCATGATATTGGTGCACTGGTTGAAGATCTTCATGTAGGGCTTCAGGATGTCGAAGTGGAAGGCAGGTGTCAGCAGGCGGCGGTGTCGGCTCCACTTGTCACCTTTGCTGAGCAGCAGCCCATCTCCTGGGCCCAGTAGACCGAGATTAGGGACCTCTCCTATTACTCTGCAACACTGTAGGAAACCCCACACCTGCCCCCTCTTCCCTGAAACCCCAGCGCCAGCCTACCCAGCCCCGTGCTCACCCAGCCAAGGTCTCAGGAAGCCATAGAAAAGTTCATCCTTGGGAGCAACAGCAGCTGTGGAGAAAAAAGTGGAAATGATGCTTCAAAACAGAGTTCTGACTCTTGACCTCTGCTTATGACCTCCGTAGGCCTCCACTCTAGGCTCTGACCTCCCACCTCACCCCTCCAGTCCAATCCTCCATGCCTGCCTGGAAAGATTCTTGTAAAATAAGATCTGATCTGAACATGAGCCTCCCCTGCTCAAACACCTCCTATGTCTCCCTATTGCCCTTGTATAAAAGTTCAAGCTCAGGCTAGCACTGAAGACCCTGCTGCATCTTGCCACCATGTGCCTCTTCCACCTCATTCTTCAGTATACACCAGATAACTCCACATGCTGTCCCTCACTTCCAAACCTTTGCCCAGGCCCTACTCTTTATCCAGAATGGTCTTCATTTACTTCTTCCCCGAATCCATCCCCTCTTTTCTGCCAACTCAGGCCTTGTGAATTACACCTCCTGTGCTCCCAGCCGCCAGCCTTGCCCTGTCCAGTCTGTCCCGCACCCTGGACCCAGGGGGGATCTTATCTGACCCCAGATCTGACCATGTCTTTTCCTGGCCACACAACCATTTGCCTCAAGCACAGCTGCTGTGAATGATCTACCCAGTCCAGACCTCTCTCAAAACACTTCTACCCTCCACCATCACCACCCCTTCTCCCAACACGCTCAGCTTCCTAACATCACAGAACTTTTCTCAGCTCCTTGAAAAGCCGTGTTCTCTCTCTGCTCTGAGTCCTTCCACCAGGTGCCCTCACTGCCTCAAAGACTCTCCCCTCATTCTTTCAGTCTCTGCTTGGATGCCATCTCCTCTTCCACAAGTCACTCTGTATTGTATCCATCCAGTTACAAGCCCCTTGAGGGAAGAGACCTTGTTAATCACTAATATATAGGAGTTAAACAAATTTTTATTGTATGAACAAATTAACCAATCAAAGGATGAATGAATAAAAAAATCAGTGAGTGGATGGATGGATGGTTGGTTGGATGGATAAATAAGTGAATTTCCTTTCTATGTGCTGAATAGACTGGGGACAGAATGAGCAGGACCCAGGAAGAAAGCACCCGAAATTCAAGTGATGTCACTTTTACTTGAGATATGACTCAGCCATCTACACACACTCCCCAAGAATTGGCCAATTATATGCACAGTCATCTGTCTACTCATTCTCCCATTCAGCACACCTGTTCCACCACCTTTCTGTGCCCAACCCATGCTGGGTGATGTTGGGGGCCCAGAGAGGGCGCAGCTCCACACCCTGCCTGTAGGAGCTCTGGGTGGAGTGGGAAACGGAAGCAGAGGCACGTCATGCAATTAGCAAGAAGGTAGAATGTATGCCAGGAGCAGAGGGAGGCACAATGAAAGGGCTGCTGGAAGTCAAGGGAGACTTCCACGAAGAGGCAGCATTGGAGGAGGTGGTGGGAGCCTAGGTACTTCTCTCCTCTCTGAGCTCTGGACCCCAGACTAGGCTCTTCTAGGGTCTTTCTGACACACAATGGCTGTCATGCTCAAACATCTCCCATGGCTCCACCCTCAGCGTAAAACACAAGCTCCTTCACTTTTTGCACAAGAGCTCTGACCCTGCTCCTGTCTCATTTCCAACTTCTCCCCATGCATCATCTTCACTGCAAGTCACCTGAATTCCCTTGGCACTTTAACATATCTGCACCTTTGCACTTTGGGCCCTCCACCTGGGATCTATCATCTGGCAAACTCCTATGCATCCTTCAAGGTCCAGCTTCACTGATACCTCCTCCAGGAAGCTTTCTCCAAACCTTCTCCCTGGGCACTTTCTCTACCATCCTCAGGTCCCTTCTTGAATGCAATCTTGACCACTCGGTGCCAGGAGAGGCTGTGTCTGGGCTGTCTCTCCCATCAGTTTCCCCTTCATGAACAAGGAGATGGTAACGTCTACCTCAAAAGAGGTAATATAAGAAAAGCTCCTACAAGGTGCTGAGCAAGAAGCTGCATATTACTGTGGTTGAGAGCTTGGCCTCTGGGCTGGCTAGGTCCAGGTTCAAATCTCATCCCTACCAAGAATTCGATGTGTAAATTTGGGCATGTTACCACTCCACCCCTCCACCTCCTCATCTGCCAAAGGGGAAATAGAACAATCCTGCCTGACTCATGGCATCCCAGCAAAAACTCAATGAACTAATGTGCTTCCGGCACACAGTAGGTACTCATTAAATATTTGTGCACATAAATGAATTTGTGCACATAAATTAACTGTTGGCCATTTTTACTGATATGACTATAATTATTGCTCACTGGTGCCAAGAACTTGTGAGATGAATATCTGGATCCCCAGCTCACAGCAGAACCCTAGTAAGGAAAAATGAGTGCACAGACACCATGGAAAACAGTTCAGTGTTTCCTTGAAAAGTTAGATGTATGTTCCCATATGATCCCACAATTCCACAACTAGGTAGCTACCCAAGAGAAATGGAAATACATGTTCAAAACTTATACATACATGTTCATGTCACCATAATTCATAACAGCCAAAAGGTAGAAACAACCCAAATGTTTGTCAACAGATGAATGGATAAACAAATGAAGAGGGGGAGGGTGTAGCTCAGTGGTAGAACACATGCTTAGCATGCATGAGGTCCTGAGTTCAATCCCCAGCACCTCCATTAAAAATAAACTAATTAATTAATTAATTAAAACTAATTATCCCCCCCAAACAACAAAACAAATGTGGTAAATTCATATATCCATGCAATGAAATATTACTCAGCCTTCAAAAAGAATGAAGTCCTGATCATTGCTGCAATGTGGGTGAACCTCAAAAACATTATTCTGAGTATAAGAAGTCACTTGCAAAAGAACACATTTTGTATCATTCCTTTCCAATGATATAGACAGAAAAGGAAAATCCATAGAGACAGAAAGTAGATTAGCATTTACCAGCAGATGAAGAGATGGGGAGAAGTGGGAAGGGATTACTTAATGGGTGCAGAGTATTTTATGAAGTGATGAAAAAATTCTGAAACTAGAGAGAGCAGAAGATTGCACAGCAATGTGAACTCACGAAATACCTTATACTTTAAGATCATTAATTACATGGTGTGTGATTTCATCTCAATAAAAAGAGAATATACAAAAATAAGCTATAATTATATGCCTATATATCATGCTTTGTCTTCTATAAAGCATTTTCACCTACTTTCTCCTATGAGTACTCTCTATCACAAGTACCCTTTAGAAGAGGAAGAAACAGCGGTTCCAAAAGGTGCTGTACTGTTCTCAGGGCCCAGCAGCTCTGCAGTTTTAAGCACAGAGGAGCAAACTCCTCCAGATGTGGCCCCAAGGAGGCCCCAGTCAGGGATGGTACAAAAGACTTGGGGCCAGGCCTGTCCAATCTCAGGCGGGCAGGCACAGAGGGGCAGGGAAGCTGACTTCAGGCTGCCTCCCCTGATTCACAGCCCCACCCTCCCCAACTTGGAGTCCCCCATCCGGCTCCTCCAGGGAGGAAGGCAGTGGATATCCTGCCTGTCTTGAGAGAGGGGAGGGGAGGGGAGAGAGGGAGACCTGCACGTCAGAGTGCTAAGCTTAGCAAGTGGGGGATCTGTTCCCTGATCTAGTTGGGATCTCACAGCCATGCAGGATGACACTCAGAAAACAGATGCTCTGAGGTGGTAGGGGGAGAAGGAGAGAGGGAAAGAAAGGGGAAAAAAAGATATCAAAAAGGCAGAAGAGAAGAAACCCTTATTAGTACCTGCCCACACTCTATGACTGAGGCTTCAAATCATCCCATTTTACAGATCAGAAACTGAGGCTCTGAGAAGCTAGATGAATTGCTGGGTCACACAGCAAGTATGTGCTTCAGCCTGGATTCAAACCCAGACCAGCCAAGTCCTGGTCCAGGCCTCTTGTGACAATGTGGTACCCATCTCTTGGAAAAGTCACCCCTCCCAGGGTCTAGGTTTCCCTCTTTGTTCAATGGGGATAAATTGGGTGTACTTGATCTGAACAATAAAGAGGGAAAACCCCTTTACAAGAAAAAAAAAGATTATACTGTATAGCACAGGGAAATATATACAAGATCTTGTGGTAGCTCACAGCGAAAAAAAATGTGACAATGAATATATGTTTGTTCATGTATAACTGAAAAATTGTGCTCTACATTGGAATTTGACACAACATTGTAAAATGACTATTACTCAATAAAAAATGTTAAAAAATGGGGATGGTTATTCCCTTATATATGCAATAATGGGGGAACACTGAGGCATGAGGAGGGTATGGCTGGTAAAGAGAAGGGTGGCAGCCCCTTTCTCTTTCATGGCTTCAGGGAGGCAGCCTTGAAGGTGGTCTCCAGACAGTGTTTGAGAAGGTCAAAGCTGAGGCCAGAGATTCTAGAATTCCTGGAGCTCTTTATTTCCCATTCCTTCTCTCTCAAATGTCCCCTGATACCTCTGGAGATGTTCACAGATATGCAAGTCCACCTGAGGGTCCAGAGCCCTGCTTATAAGGAAGATAGTGCTGAACACAGATACATTTAGCTGTAAATGGTTAAGACTGAGAATGAGACAGTCCAGAGTAGAGAGTTATGATCTGTCTGCATGGTCAGGGGAGGCTTCCTGGAGGAGGGGGTCATTAGAGCTGCATGTTGAAGGCTGAGTAAAAGCTTTCCAAGCACACTTGGGAGTCCTACACCTTGGGGTAGGTGCGGACTGCAGAAGGGAAAAGCAATCCTTCAACCTCTCCCTCTCTGCCAATCAGGGTCAGCTCAAGTGATGAAAGCAGACTGCAGGCTGGGATAACCACAGAGGGAGTGTGAGAACCCAAAGGATGGGAGTGCCGTGGCTTAAAATTGAGCAACAACCATTTAACAAAAGCTTGGGCAAACAATTGCCTATCCAAGCATGTTTGGCTCTGACTTTGAGAGGTGGACATCCTCTCAAATTTCCTGGGATTCTTAGATATTGTCTCACCTTTTCCCATGCTGTTCCCACTATTTATATTGCCATTTTGGCTGTGGTGAACTCCTATTCATCCTTCAAGGCCCAACTCAAATGGCCCTTCCTCTGCATAACCCACCAGCCTAGAAACGCAGGTTGGCTCTGGGAGCTGAGGGTTTACTCATTACTCAGAGGCCCAGCACACCTACCTGAAGCGCCCAGCAGGGGCTTGATGTAGTCAGGGTGCATTAAAACCAACAGTGGCAGGACAGGTCCCAGCCACACCAGGATCACGTAGTGCATGCTTTCCAGCACCTTATTCTCATCCTGGAGACCCGACTCATTTGGGAGATACTGCAAGGGGTGAAGGGAAGGGTAGTGAGAAGTTAACCAGCCCCGGCTTCCCCCAGCCCTTCACTCCCACCAACTCCCATGTCCTCAAAACAAGCTGGGAAGAGCTGTATGATTGCAAGAAATCAGCTGCACCTCACTGAGTCTGCATTCCCTCATCTGAAAACTAGGGGGGGAAAATCAACTCCCCTTCAGAGGGTAGTTGAGAGCATTCATGAAATAGCAAAATGAAAGAGTCCCAGCATGGAGCCTGACACATGGCTGGGGTTCAAGAAATACAAACAGTAACAGTAAACACAATAATGATACCAGCTGGCATTTATGGAGTATTTCTGTTAGGAATATAATATTACTAGTATTCTATCTAACACATACATGTGCTTGCAGTATTGGGCGCTGCTGTGGGCATTTTTCACAGAGTCATACTTCAACACACAAAAGAACCCTATGACATAGTTGTTACCATTTTCCCCATTTTACTTTACTCAGAGACGTCAAATGACTTGTCTGAAGTTACAGGTAAGTGATTGTACTGGTTTGGGCTCCCCTAGAAGCAGGACCTGAGACAGTTTATTTGGGGGGATGATCCCCAAAAACATGGATGGGGTGAGAGGAAGTGAGATAGGAAGGGAAAGCAGCCAGTAAAGGGTTGTCAAGAGATTTACCCTTATGGGCAACTGGGGCTCAGTCCTACTGGGAATCTCCGGGGAACACCTATCTCAGAGTAAACCTACAGGAGGGTGAGGTAGCCAAGGTATTTATACACCAATTCATCTAGTCCCATAGTTACTGGCTGAGGGCCCCTCCTGGGGCATTAACTTTCAAACTCACAGAACACCCAGGCCGGGTGGGCTTCAGGTACTAGAGAAAGCCCTAGAACACAGGCGCTGGCAGCCAGAAGTCAGCCCATTGCTCCCAGAAATGGGCTGAGAAGATTTCAGCAAGCACTGGCATTATCTGACCCAGTGGCAAAGCCAGGGGCTCAAATCCATCTTCAGTGGCTGCATGATCTTAGGCAAGTCACTTAACCTCTCTGAGTCCCAAAGGGTAAATCCATAATATAGGGCAGAGTCATTCTTATTTCACTGGCTATGAGAATTGGGAGAGCTCAGACATAAAAGGGCCTAACCCAGTGCCTGGCCAGTGGTAGGGCCCAGCCGTTGTAGAATGAATGAGTGAATAAGCAAACGAACAAAGGAATGGTTCCTCTCTGGCTCTTATGTGTCCTCGATCAGGCTCAACCCTAAGCCTGTCCACACACAAGACAGGTCACAGCCTCTTCCAGGTCTCATGGCTCTGGGAGGCAGGCTGGGCACACAAAGTCAAGGCTGGACTTCAGAACTGGCCTGGGTCAACAGCCCAGGGCACCAGAGCCTGGCCACTACCTCCAGGACCACCATCCAAGCCAGAGGGCTTCCTGGAATGATGGACACTGGATATGGGGCATAAAAAATGAGTAGAAGTTTGACTAGTCTGGGCAGAGGGCACAATTTCAGCAAAGGCCATGGAGGTGGAAAGTCAGAGCCTTGTTACAGAAGCAGGAAGTCACTCTATGGGATTAGAGAGAGAGATGGTAGAACAGGTGAGGAGGGAGAACGTTGAAGTCTAAAGGGACTTGAACTCCAGCTTAGGAGCTGGGACATTCTTGGGACAGCAGTGGAGAGCCATAGAGGGTGTGTGAGCAGGGGAGGGACATGGTTGGATTCAAGAATCCTTCTGGGGCCAGGATAGGGGACGGACTAGAGGGGAGAGACTGGAGGCAGGAGCCCAGTGAGGAGGATGGACCATAGTCCCATCAGGAGAAGATGAGGCCTGAGCAGACGGTGGAGAATGGAAGAGAGGGAGGAGATTCAGGCACAAACAGGGAAAATCTTAGTAAGTCCTGCCTCCAGGAGGATAATTCCAAAAACTAAATAAAATGAATATTCTTTGCGCTATTGAGTGGAATTGTGTCTCCTGCTTCCTTCCAAGCAGTAGCTAAAATATTTCTGGAATCACTGGATGCTTCTAGTCTCTGCAAGACCCAGGAGTTGAGCACACACATCCACCACCGTGCAGCCAGCTCAGCAACGTGACCAAGCCTGCCCCTAACATGACTTCAGGAATTGTTGAAACAATCCCATGAGGTTATTAGGAATGATTATCGTTCCCATATTGCAGATGGGGAAACTGAGGGACCAGGAGGTGACGTAGCTTGCTCAGGGTCACACAGGCAGTAGACAGGAGAGACAGGCAAGTCCACATCTCTTTTGACCTATGAAGCCCTTTTAGAAAAATCTAGATTTGAATCCAGATTTGATTCAAAGCTCTGTGACCTAGGGCCAGCTGCTTAACCTCTCTGTGCCACAGTATTCTCTAGAGAGCAAAGGAGACAGTCACAGGACCCACCTTCTAGGACTGTCAAGAGGACCAATTGAGTTAATATTTATAAAGCATCTGAAACAATTCTTGGCATATACACGTGAACCAAGAAATGAAAGGAAAGGGTTGGGACCTCAGCTTTAAAGAGAATGAGAGAGTGTGAAGTCAAACTGCGAGGCAGACGGAGCAACAAAATTTACGGGAGTGCCCCAGAACCTGATGCATTTCACAAGCGCTGGTACCTATTGCTACAACAATAGCCTGGAATTACAGAGAGAACTTTGGAGTCAGTTCTGCCTCATCCCAGCTCTGTGATCTTGGGTAAACTGCTTGCCCTCTCTGAACCTCAGTTCCACTCAGAACCTATAAAATGAGTCTGTTCATGACTCCAGATTCTTGGGGGAATGAAGCAAGCCAGCAGATCTGTCATCCTGACTAAACACCTAGGACCTCCCTAGTCCTGCCCTGCCCCGCCCACCTGCCCAGCCACACACACCATGCCCAGGTGGCCCAGTAGCCAGTTGCGCCGGGGCGGCTGGGGAAAGCAGCGCAGCCGGCGGCAGGTGATGTAGAAGCGCCAGCAGAGTCCCAGGAACTGCACCAGAAGACGGAAGAGGAAGAAGAGCAAGGCGAGAAGGAGCCCAGTCACGGCATACAAGCGGAACGCCGTCTTCTCCAATCCCAGGAGGTGCAGCATGTGCTCTGTGATGGGCAGCATCCTGGGGGGACACACGGGGTAGGGGTCAGTGCAGATGGGAGCCACCCTCCGGTCACAAATGATGCCATACACGTGATGACCTGTGGAATCAAGCAGGGGGTGCCTGGCGCGCAGCAGGCATTCAACATATGCAGGTCCCAGATGCCAAGGATACTGCTTCCCCCCTGCAGTGACCTCCAGCCAGCTAGCCCCACCCTTTCTCCCTCAGCCTTGACTTTGCAGGGCATTCCTCCTGACTTCTCCGCCCACACACAGCTGGCCAGAGTGCTGGAAAATTAAAACAACCTCCCTCCCCTCCTCCCTGCCAAAAGCAGCTCTCAACCAATGACTGACGAACATTGCTGGATAAATACTCCAGCTCCTTCTCGGTTCCAGTGCATTGACCCCTAGATGTGGGTTCTACACGCGCTACGAGGGCTTCCCAGCAGGATTACACTCCAGCTGCCCACAATAGAAACTTTCTCTATTAGCCGCCTCCCTTCCCCTGTCTTACTTCCCCCTTCTCCTTCTTCTCTTCCTTTTTTTAATTGAGGTGAGAGTCACACAATATAAAATGAGCCATTTTAAAGTGAGCTTTACAATTTACATTCACAATACTGTGCAACCACCACCTTTATCTAGTTCCAAAACATTTCCATCATCCCCCAAAAGGAGACCTCTTCCCTATGAACGATCACCCCCTCATTCCTCCCACTCCCAGCCCCTGGCAACCACTAATCTTTCTGTCTCTGTGGATTTGCCCATTCTGGACATTTCCTATACATGGAATCATATAATATGTGGACTTTTGTGGCTTTTGTGGCTTCTTCCACCCAGCATGTTGTTTGCAAGGTTCATCCACCTTGTAGCACATATCAGTGCTTCATTTCCTGCCCCACTGAGTAATATTCCATTGTAGGGATGTGTCACAGTTTGTTTATCCATTCATTTGTTGATGGGCGTTTGGACTGTTTCCGCCTTCTGGCTACTGTGAAATGTGCTGTTATGAAAATGCACGTACCTGTATTTACCTGAGTCCTTGTTTTCAATTCTTTTAGGTTCACTTTCTTCTTCCTCACTGGTCTTTTCTGTGATCACTTCCCAAAGAAACTATTTGCATTCAAATCCTTGCCCTGGGATCGGCTCCTGAAGGAACCAAAACAAAGCGGACGGGTAGCAATGTATAACACAGTGACCAGGTATGGAGCACTGACTACCTGCCATGCACCACTATCAGGAATGTGCATGCCTCATTTTATGGAATCTTAAAGCAGTCCTTGGAGGGAGGTTCCGTCATCCTCTGTATTTTCAAGACAATTCAGACTCAGTGCCTTCAACTCAAGGCAGATGGGAGCTAACAGAAGCCCCTGAATCTCCACCAAGGCTAACCTCAATCACTTTGAGGACCCACGGATCTCAGACAACACCAAAGAGACTCCTGAAAATGCTCAGGTCCTACCCTCATCAATCTTTTCCACTCAGTCCTACCAGCCAAGAGTTCCCTCTGTGCCCCTACCTTCTTGGGTGACACAGCTAAAGGAACCCTGCAGCACAGATTCTCAGCTGAGTCCTCAATCCTCACCCACCCCTGCCAGTGGGGCCCCCGACTACGGGCTCCAACTCACTGACTCTTCCGTCAGCCAGTGCCCAACCTCATCACTCATGTGGAAGTGAAATTTCTATTGGTTGCCTCATCCTGAGAAAGCAGCTGGGTGGGTCATCTCCAAATGTGGAAGGACCCAAAGAAATGGTCTGACTTACAAGAGAGATGACATGACCACTCATTAGGATAGCTACTATTAAAGAAAGAAAGACCAAAAAATAACAAGTGTTGGCAAGGATGTGGAGAAATTGGAACCCCATGTATGGCTGGAGGGAACGTAAAATGGCGCAGCCATGCTGTAGAGAATGGTATGGTGGTTCCTCAAAAAATTAAGCATAGAATTACCATTTGTTCTAGCAATCCCACTTTTGGTAGATCTTCAAAAGAAGTGAAAGCAGGAACTTAAATGGATATTTGCACACACATGTTCATGACAGAAGTATTTACAACAGCCTAAAGGTGGAAGCAACCCGAGCATCCATTGATGAAAGAATGGATATACAAAATGTGGTCTATTCATACAGTGGAATATTATTCAGCCTTAAAAAGGAAGGTAATTGTTGGGTGTAGGGTATAGCTCAGTGGTAGAACATGCACGAGGTCCTGGGTTCAATCCCCAGTACCTCCATTTAAAAAAAAATTTTTAAAGAAGGAAATCGTTAATGCATGCTACAACATCAATGAACCTAAATGACATTATACTAAGTGAAATAAGCCAAACACAAAAGGATAAACACTGTATGATTCCACTTATATGAGGTCCCTGGAGTGATCAAATTCATAGACACATAAAGTAGGATGGTGGTTGCCAGGGCCTGAAGGAGGAGGGGATAGGCAGTTAGTGTTTAATAGATAGAAGGTTTTAGCCAGGGAAGATGAAAAAGTTCAGGAGACGGATGGTGGTGATGGTTGCATGACAATGTGAATGCACTTAATACCACTGAACTATACACGTAAAATGGTTAAGATGATAAATGTTAGGTTATGTGTATTTTACTACAATTAAAAATATTTTTTGAAATACAGACAGCCTGATGTAGGAATACACCCACTGGAAGGTCCAGGTAGGGGTAGGGATGGGGTGGGGAGCAAGCAACCTTCCCAAATGAAGCACAGAGAGCTCCAAGTCACAAGTCCTGGGCAGATGCTCTGAACTAGGACCGGTGATGTGCAGTCGGGCTGCCTCTCCTACGGGCAGCTCCAGGTGAAATGCTCCACAGGAAATAGCTGTGGGTATTTATTTCTATATCAATTTAATGATGGCTAATGATTCTCCCCAGCCGTACCGGGGAAGCTAGCTAGCAGAAACTACTAAGAACTGTGACCTTCCTCTAGCTTCCACAGGCCAGGCCTTCCACCAAGGGTTCAACATGCATTTGTTCAGCATTCAGTTAGTAATTCATTTCTGAGCCCCTGCTATGTGTATGGCTCTTCTCTGAACATGGGGACGTAAGGATGGCAGGACAGACATGACCCCAGGCCTTAGGGGAGGTGACCACCAACAGATGTGCTAGGACACCATCTAAAGAAGGTAAAGTGGCATGGGGGAGCAGCTAAATATTGCCCCCTCCCATCAATAACCCATCCTAAGCCCTGGAACCTGGGAATGTGACTTTATATGGAAAAATCATTGAAGGTGGGATTAAATTAAAGATCTAGAGATGGTGGGGGAGGGTACAGTTCAGTGGTAGAGCACATGTTTAGCATGCATGAGGTCCTGGGTTCAATCTCCAGTACCTCCATTAAAATAAATAAATAAACCTAATTACCTCCCTCAACAAAATAAATAAATAAATAAATTATAAAAGATCTAGAGACCAGGAGATTATCCTGGATTGTCCAGGTGGGTCCTAGCTGGAATCACAAGTGTCCCTGTAACAGAGAGACAGAGGGAGATTTGACACACAGAAGACCAGGGAGGAGGGTATATAGCTCAGTGCTAGAGTGCACGCTTAGCATGCAAGAAGTCCTGGGTTCAATCTCCAGTACCTCAATTTTTAAAAGAAGAAGTAGAAAAGAAGAAAAAAAAAAAAAAGAGAGAAGGCCTTGTGACCATAGAGGCAGGATTAGAAGGCCTCGTGAAGACAGAGGCAGGATTAGGGAGGGGTATGCAGCCAGAAGCCAAGGAATGCCTGGAGCCCCCAGAAGCTGGAATAGGCAAAGAAGCTTCCTCCCCAAGAGCCTCCAGAGGGAGGGAGTGTGGCCCTGGCTTTCCGACTTCTGGCCTCCAAGTCTGTGAGGTAATAAATCTGTGTTGTTTTGCGTCACCCAGTTCATGGTCATTTGCTAATGGCAGCCACAGGACACTAACACGTTGGGTAAGAGGATGGTGAGCAACTCTTCGATTTTTTCAGATGAGGTGGTCCAGGGAGGCTTCTCTGGGGAGGGATACCTGGGCAAAGGCTTGAGTGAAGTGAGTAATTAAATGAAGGGGGCTTTCTTATTAATTATGCACACACACACACTCTCCATAAGCAGCTGGGTTCTAATCCTGACTCCTTCTCTTTTACATGTGCCTCCCATTTTCCCATCTGAAATTGTGGGTGGCTGTAAGAGATGATCTCCAGGTCCACCATGATGTGACCTTTCCTGTGTGTGGTCCAGAAAGGAGAGTTGGGGTCACGGGTCACCATCTTGGCAGGCCCAAGACTCCTGGGGGGTGGGGGGTGGAGTCAGCATATTCAGCCAACAGGGGGCCACATGGGTCACATCTAACCCCCCGGGCAACCTGGCTGAAGTCTGGCTCCCAGTCCACCCACCAGACACCTTTCTAAAAGCCTGTCATTTTCCCCAGCTCTAACTTCCTCCATGGCTCCCTACTGCCCCAGCCTGGCATCCAAAGCCCCATCCTCCACCTCAAACACAAAGATCCCCTTTCTCAGCCTCTTTTGGACCCCTCTTTCTTTACCAAATTGTAACTGTTGACATTCCTTAGAGCTTGGTTCTGGACGGTCTCCTCTGTCTCTGTGCACATCTCCTGAGGATCTCACCCCTTCCATGAGCCAAGCTGTGGTGACTCCCATGTCTCAGTGACACCCCCATAGGTCCAGCCACCTTCTGGATATTCCCCCAGGGGTGACCCCCAGGCCCTCAGAGTCATCTCACCTCCTTCCTCCTTCCTACATCTGATCTATTGCTGGCTCCTGCCAGTCATCCATCCTAACGTCTTTCACATCCATTCATTATTCCCCATCCCCATGATCCCACATGTGTCAGGTCACCACTGTGGTAGCCTCCTCCCACTGGTCCCCTGAGTTCCATCCTTGGCCCCCACCACTCCATTCTCCACACAGCAGCCAGAAAGATCTTCCTAGGAATAAATCAGACATGACCATCTCCTGCTAAAAATCCTCCTGTGATCTCCACTCCACTACATTCTGAACACAATTCAGGTTTCTTTCCATGGACCCCAGTGCCCTGAGTGGTCTGTCTCCTGACCCCTGTCTCCCACCACTCTCCGCTTCACTCACTCAACTCCGGCCACTCCAGCCACAGATAAAGTTCATTCCCACCTCACAGCCTCTGCACATGCTGTTCCCTCCTCCTGACATGCCTTTCCCCCAGCTCTCCTCATGCCAGTTCCCCCTCATCCTCCAGGACCAGCTCTGCCTCTACAGCCTGTTTTTCATTGGAACCAGCCACCTCCCTTCCTTTGCTCTCAAAGGAACTATTGAGCGCCGCTATATGCCGTGGCTTTCAGAGTCATAACTTTCAGCTTTCCAGTAGCCCTCAGAGGGAGCTGGAGGACTTTCTAGAGGAGCCACAGCAAATACCCCCATGCCCATCTAGGAGAATTCCAGCTGATATCCCAACCAAGAAAATGTCTTCCTGAAGGATTGAAATGGGAAGGAATTGAAACAAGATAAAGCACCAGCCCTGGAGAAGAGGTCACTGCTCTGGGAGGGTGGGTGCCTGGGGAGAGCCAGAGAAGACCTGTGCCCACCTCTCCACCCCCTCCATGCCAGGCATGGGCTGCAGTCTTTCCTGGGACAGACACCAGCTCTGCTCCTGGCAGAAAGAACACACACTGTGGTCCCCAACTGGATCTCACCACTGGAGCCTCAGTCTTCTCATCTACAAATTGGGAATAGTTGAAAGAGGTCCACCTGATGCTCATGGGAGGATCTCAATAAATGGGTGCATTGGGGAAATCCTCTACTTTCCACAGCTGGGATCCTCCTCCCCCAAGACAGGAGGATTTTTGTCCAACCCCCCAAAAGAAGGTGCTCCAAAAAGTTTTGAGGTGGTGCAGCCACTGTGGGAAACAGTTTGGTGGTCCCTCAAAAAGTTAAATATAGAATTATCCCATGAGCCAGAAATTCCACTTTTAGGTGTATACCCATGGAGTGAAAAACAAGCACTCAAACTGATATTTGCAAACAAATATTCATAGCAGCACTATTTACAATCACCAAAAGATGGAAACAACCCAAATGCCCATCAACTGATGAATGGATATCATGAGGTGTATCTATATGATGAAATATTATTCAGCAATGAAAAGGAAGTACTGCTATATGGAACAACATGGATGAACCTCAAAAACATCACACCGAGTTAAAGAAGCCAGACACAAAAGTCCGTGTGCTGTGTAATCCAGTTTATATGAAATATCCCAGATAGGTAAATCACAGGGGCAAAAAGCAGATTAGTGGTGGCCAGGGGCTGGAGGGAGGGAAAATGGGGAGTGACTGCTAATGGGGACAGGGTCTCCTTTCTGGCTGATGAAAATGTTTTGGAATGATTAACAGGTGGTGATTGCACAACATTGTGAATGTGCTAAAAGCCACTGAAGTGTTCACTTTAAAACAGCTGTTTTCTATTAGATGAATTTTGCCTCAATTTTTTTTAAGTGCAAAAAAAAAAGTTTTGAGGACCCTTGAGAAATTTATCATGGTAGCTGCCTC